ACACTGTGGCCCCGGAAACTACTTCGTTTGCAAAAATACTCTTGCCAGAAAGCGCGTTTTCGTGGTACCAGGCGCTCACGCCGTTCCTCACGACGCTGCATCAAGCAAGAATAATGATTTCCGAACATACTTAAAGATATACATCTTTATTTACCTTAAATATATATATTTAATATATAAAGATTTACCTGAAAGATACACGTCATAAGTAAATGCACCACCAAATTATCTGAAATATTGCCGCGTGGAAAAAGCTGAGTCAGCAGGGTGCTGGACTCGCACGCCGCTGACTAGGGTTTGATCCCCACCAGCGCTTGTCCTTTTTATCTTCCCTTTGTTTGCATGACTAAAATGGTCCAGATGACTAGAGAATCTTGTCCTTTGTTCGAGCTCGGAAAACTTCTAGATACCCACGCACTTACGAAAGGAGCTTCGCATGGCCTGCTTGAGGCAGTCGTCCTTCCATCGCGTCAGAGTATCTCTGTTACTTCATGTTTCTCGGTACAAGTTCGCCGCATTAATCGCTCATTTTAAGTTTTATTAACCACGCTTATGTTTCTTATTCGTGACATTTCTGGTGGAGGTGCGGGGTAACGCAATCTATGCTCACGTTGCATACGACCTGTCAACACGATAACTCCGAAGATGCCGCCCGTGAAAACGACGACCGGCAATGCGACGTCCCCGATATCGAACCGAGGATTACTCCAGCTGGGACATTAACGACAACCTCAACTATGGCCTCGAAAAACGACCCGAACTATGAACTCGACAATGCCCGTGGCTACTACCACGGCGATAACATGATGACGACTTCGACGACGACGACGACGATAAAACGGGCAGCAACTCCGAAGACAGCCTCGGCTACGACGTCAACAACCCACCCGACTATGGCCTCGACGAGAAACAGTGTCTTCGAACTTGACGACGAGACTGACGACGACGCTGACGATGACACAGGCGACGACTCGAACGACGATATCCACGACGATCATGGCTACAATTTCGATGAAACCCTGACGACAACTTCAACGGCGTCCCAAGGACAACCCGGGTGATGATTCAACGACAACCCCGACGGCAACATTGTTGGCGACCTTCATGACGAAAGCGATGACGATACCGACTAGGAATGTGATGTCGACCACGGAGACGATCAGGACGACGATGCTCGGTTCGTCACTCCACGAGCGGAGCAAGTCCGCCGGCTCGACCGCGTTTTGATTCAAGCCGCACAACTTGCTGACGATGCCCGGTGTCGCCACGACGCCCAGTTCCAGCCCGGCTACCAAGTGTGGGTCTGAACACCAATTCATTGTCGCAGCGAGGAACTGTTAAAGCGGTGCTTCGGCCTCAAGGTTATTCGCTACCTGAGGGACCTAAACTGCAAACCGTTCCTCGACGGAACATGAACATTGTCACGCCGTCCTCTGCGACCAGAAGGTGATTTACGTCGTCCGACTCGAGCTGCGCCATGCTCGATAGGACATAGAAAATCTGTTTTGAATGACTTGGTAGTTGCCCTTCTTTTTTTGCGTTGTCGATTTCATTGTGTGTCACATCGGGACGATAAGTTTTTTCAAGAGGGAAGTAATTCCAAAAGCTGAGTCAGCAGCGTGCTCGACTCACACGCCGCTGGCTGGGGTTTGAACCCCGCTAGCGCTCGTCCTTTTTGTCCTTCTTTGGTTTGGATGACGAAAATGGTCCAGATGACTCGAGAATCTTGTTTTTTGTTCGATCTCGGAAACTTCTAAATTAGATACCCACTCGCTTACAAAAGGAGCTTCGCATGGCTGCTTGAGGCAGTCGACCTTCCATCGTTGTCGAAGTATGTACGGTTTTTGTTAGTTCATGTTTCTGCAAATCTTTTTTCACATTTTTATCCTCGATAGACATGTATGCTTAAAACAAATTCCTGATTTTGAAGCTGACTTAAATAACCATGTGCTCCTGGCACATATATAGGGTGTTTGCATATAACCAAAAATCCGCCGTAAAAATCGACGCCTGCACGTAGCAATCCAAACTTTTCGTCAAAGGTGTATTTCACGGGCGGCGGAGATAAGCTCACCGGAGAAAGACTCACCGCAAAACCGGCAGATGCGGAGAAAAGCTCACCGATTTTTTCTTTAACTTAGCGGATTCTGCGTCAAACGTGGTAATTGAACACAATTCGCATTCGTCACTTCATTAAAAATATGTTCTCTTTTTTGTGATATCCTTGAAGTTCATTGGGCATATTTACTAAATTCTCAGAAATTAGTAATCATCTATTTTGTATATTAATGAAGCCGAAAGTGGGTATAAAATCAGAACATCGCTCACCGGTAAAAAAGACAACAATTTATTGACAACTGACAGTGCGCCGTCGGTAGCTCTGTCAAAGAGGTTTGTTCTTTGCGAGCTAATATGAATAGCGGTGTGTGAATCCTTCAGCTCCGAATATTGTGTAGTGCCTAATGTATAAGTAGGTGTTTGTTGTTGTAATCAGGGGCGGCTACGCTATTCTCTTTCTGTTAATTTGACTAACAAACCTTTAGTTTCGAGAACAGCTTCGTCCTGTCGTGTTTGTTGTCTTCACTCCGTCGTCGTCGTTTGAGCGGTTTTCATCATGTATAACGCTTACCAACTCACCCTATTCGCTACCTTGCAGAAGACTACTTCTTATATAGGTCACGACTAACAACGGTGCCAATGTGCAGCTCTGAAGGTCGTGGATGGTTCGCTGTAGAAAGGCGCTATCACACAAAGGCAACGTGTGGAAACACCAGCACTAACGGCTAGAACACGTTCATGTCCGTGGAAGAAAGAAGCCTCGATATCCTACTGACTGTTTTATCCTGTTTTCAAAGGTTAACAAAAGCTTCAAAGAGAATTTCAGGCACAGCGTTGTTGCGCATGCACTTTCGAATATTGGGCATTTACAGTTTTGATTTTTAGGTCTTAGGCAGACATTATTAAGTTTTTGAACTTTTTCCTGTTCTTCAAGTTTATAAAGTTTTCAGTTAGGCCACTTCTTGGCAACTTTGAGTTGCCAAGAAAGTAAGTCACAGAAAACACTCGCCTTAATTGGGGAGCAGTATACCCTAAAAGTTTAACAAATGTCATAAAAAATGCCAATTTCTTTTGTACAAAGCTGACGAATATGAATGACAATAAATTGATATATGTTACGCATAATCACGCAGCCTCCATATAAAAAGAAGAAAAAAAAATATCGGTGAGCTTTTCTACGCATCCGCCGGTTTTGCGGTGAGCTTTCCTCCGGTGAGCCTATCTCCGGTGAGCTTTTCTCCGGTGAGCTTTTCTCCGGGATTCGTATTTCACAGGTCGGGTTTATTCTGAGAAGGTCTACCTAAACTCTGTTGCAACCGGCAGCACCTTTGAAGCATGATCTTCAACGCGTGGGGGGAGCGTTGCCGTGCCCACGGTATCCCGTGGTAACGCTATGCTAAAACTGCATAGTAATGCAGCCTCATTTATTGCTCTGTAACAACATTCAAATAAACTGTATACTACTCGTGTGTACCGGTTATTCGCAGCGTCGCGCGACCTGCCTCTTCTAAGCACGCGTCACGAACTGCTGGCATAGACAAATACGCTTAAAAGTGCCTCAGGAATTTTTTGTTGTTGTTTTTGCTTTCATAATTTAGTTGAGGCAATGTGCAGTCTGGTCTTTTGGAATTGCTTAGAGCAAACAGTCGTGATACCCTTGTCATGGCATTTCAGCGCACTAAACGCGAACCGATTCCGGAGAGAATATTAGCAGATAGTTTTTTTCGCCCCGATAACGATGTCTGTCTCCCCCCCCTTACCCTGGCGGCCTCGGGCATGCATTTTATCGTTATCGAAAAACGGAAAAACGGAAAAAAGAAAAAAGAAGCTTCGTAAAAAACAACAACGAGACGGGAAGTAACGATGAAAGTAAAAAAAAAAAAAAAAAAAAAAAACGCAGGCAAGCTTACGAAATACGTCTATAACAAAAAAACCAACGACTGAGGATAGCTAGAAACGGAGAATGACATGTACCGTCTCAAGACACAACCACTGATTTTATTTCACATTGTCCACCCTCCCCGAAGATTACCAAAGAACCTCCTCGCAACAAGATAACAAGGAACACAAGAAACACCATTTCCGTGGTAGTGGATGTTGTTCCTTCTGTTCCTGTTATCAACACGATTGAATAAATGCGGCGATGTGAAATAAAACTAGTAGCTGTGTTTTAAGACAAAATGTGCGTGCCGGTTTTTCTTTTTAATTGATTTTTCTCTTCTTATTTTTATTTATTTCTTAATAATGTGTAAATAATTTTGCCGCCCGCGTCTCAACCGCTTGGGACTAGTCAAGCTGTGTTACCGCTTTTTTACCTCTTCACCTGCCAATTGTATGCTGGTGTGAAAATAAAGACATTTATAAATATTATTATTTACTATTATTATTATTGTGATTTTAATTTTGGAACCAAAACTAAACAACTAAGTTTTATTTAAAAAAATACAGATTACAAAACCCATCTACAAATGCAGGGACTTCAAAGCACTTATCAGAGAAAGGGTTTCTCGCAGTCGTGATGATATGAATTTGGGTCAGCTTGTCCTTTCTAATGGTTGAAAAGCGCAACAGGACAACGGACAAAAAGGAAACACAGACACAGCGCCATGTCTGTGTCTTCCTCCCCTGTCCGTTGTCCTGTTTAACCATTCTGAATCACCAACTCGCCCCACTCTCCCCCTTTGTCCTTTGTCTCCTCCAACTTGGCATCTATAAGGCATTGCGAACAATGGGGCAGATCTAGGGTCATTTCTCTTTCCTTACTTCCCTCCTGGGCAGTAGGGAAAGAAAAAAAAAAAAAAAAAAGCACCCGGTCACTTTTTTTTTTGTATCGTCACGGAAACGTGACATCCTGCAGGGGCGCGGAGACCCTTACAACAGACGAACGACTTGGCTGTTCAGGATTGCCGACTTCGCGTCCAACAAGGTCGTTCCTTGTTAACATGGCGGAACACGACGAGTCGAGTTGCTGCAGCAACAAATCCCTGCCTTGCTACAGCGTTGACGAGCAGGTTCTGCAGATACTATGGGGTAAGTATTATATCTCACTACGTTGCACTTTCGTTCAGCTTATTTTCAAAATAGACCCACAAAGCCTGATGGCGAACCAAATTCATGAAACCTTCGAAGATGCACTCAACATCGCATTCAAATGATTACCGCTTCAGGGCTTTGAAAAATATGTCTCTTTGCGTTAAGTCTACTGAAACGGAAGGTTCAGTGAGGTTTCTTTCTTTGTTATTTACGATCGCTATTTTATGACGACAGTTGAGGATTTGCTTGAGGCTTTTATCTATTGTCTCTTCCGCTCTAAATTTGCCTGTATGCTATGTAATTTCAGAGGAACAGGTGGACATGAATGAGCTACTCGAATTTTCCTTCGACCGGATCGAGAAACTGGCGAAAAAACACGGCAATACGATCAGCGAACTCCAGAAAGAGGATCTGTGGGAATACGTTCAAAGAATGCGGGTGAGTTTATATCTATTTTGTTTTATGCGGCTGCGGCCGCTTCATTCTTTGTGTATGTCCATGTCCCTCCCCCTTGCAATCCCTACAAAAAGAAAAAAAAGTATAAACTAGATTACGGGACAGGATATCACACTGGATTTCTTGCTGGAAACCTGAAGTGCATTTAGATTTTTAGTTCCATAATCCAGTCTACACTTTTTTTTTCGGTAGAAATAAACACAGAAAACAAAAGTTCATATCGTCCTCCGGCGGTGTTACAGGTTGAAAAGTCAGAATGGTTGTCTACGTCCGAGATTCCTACACCGCGCAAGAGGCCTGGTTTCTGGGACAGTTCAATCGGCCCCCCTCCGCCTTCACCGGTCTTCGGTTTCGCCCACGCCACGCCAGTAACGTCCTCGCCCAAGGTCCCCAAAACCAAGGTCCCCACTTCAGCGGTGCTAGCGCCGAGTCCTGAAACCGGGTTCTCAACACCGGAACACGACGTCCTCGGACATCGTCTTGGACGACTTCGAGGACCATCCGGAAGAGCGCCGACTCCCGTGCTGCTGACGTCCTCGCCCAAAGCCCCTGTGACGGCTGCTGCCTCGGCAGTCCTGGTCCTTTCTCCCGAAGCTGGGCCGTCAACTTCGCGATTCGGAGTCATCTCTGACGGTCAGCGGCAGGCGGCCTGCCGTCTCAAATCCGTGAGGTCGCTGGGAACCACACCCCGCGCTGGACGGAGTCCTACCGAGGTGGACGCAGCACGCACTCCCCAGCGGGGGATTGGGCAGCGCATGAAGTCCTTCTTCACGAGGACCGTCAAGTGGAAGGCGCCTCGAGACCATCTTCTTACCAGACTGGACGTCGCACCAAATTTGAGGGTACGTTTAGATTTTGCGTCTTTTGGTACTGTTCAGGGGAGGACAGTTCCACCGATATGTGAAATACATGAGAGACGTTTAGTGGACTGTATGCTGCGTATCGCGGGCCTAGCAGGTGCGTCCTCGACTCTTCTTTTCCTTTTTATGGCAACGCAAAGCTCTAATTTACGGTCTATTAAAACTATTTTTTTTGCCGAATCCGCGCTATCAATGACAAAAAACTATAATCATTTTGATAATAGCAGGAGTGAAATCTACAAGGCCCCTTCTAGCCTCTCCTTTTTTGTGTTCTCTTTTAACGGCGATTGTCAACATTACGAGTGAGCGGCATACTGACGCTCGTTTCCTTATTTTATTGTCACCCCGATTTAAAACGAGAAATTTTGAAAAGAGGAACAGACACTCGTGTAAGTGTAGTAGTGCTGGTAAGGTTGCCGTGTTACAACAGAATTGCAAAAATGACGAGGGCAGGATGACACATCTCTCCATGTGTCGTCCTGTCATCGTCGTTTATATGATTCTCCTCTAACACCGGAGGAAGAGACACATTAAAATTTTGGTTTGGGCTAGTTCGTGCAGACTGATTAAAAGGTTAAAAGCGCGAACAAAGCTAGGACAAAGACGACAGGACAGGCGGCATCTTCAACTGAATATATTGGAAGACGTCGTTACTTTTTGTAGTGTTTGTGCATTTCTCCTTGTTCTATTCGCGTCTTCTTTTTAATCTTTTAATACAAAAAACGCATGACCAGCTTCCGATTTGGGGCCACTGGACGTTCTCGCATATGGGCTAGCAGAGGAGAGAGGGTTTTCGGTATTTTGGCTGGTCCTGTTCTCGTGTTGGAGCCATTAAAAAATTGCGGTTGATCTCAACAAGCTGGCAAATCTATATAACTGATATAACACTAATTTCCAAGAGACCGCCTGCAATTGGTAGACTCGTCATATTTATGGTATCTCTTGCGGAATCCACTTTGCAGTATTTTCAGATCCACCCTAAAGGGCGTAATTTTTTAAGCGTCTATTAACGTGTTTCGTTCCTCTCTGCAGGTGCCAAGCCCCGTGTTCCGGTTCCACAGTTCAAGCAAGCTCGGTCTTATGCGCGAGCGAGTGCCGACCTTCATTCGCAAGTCGCTTCGACGGAGGTCCGGCAAGTACTCGATGAACGCCAGGCATCAAGAATGACTGGAAACGTCGCGCCTGACACGGTGTGTCTGCAGCCGTACCTAGGAACGGCTTTTCTGATGAGTGTAGTTAGCTTCAGCGCTAATAAAGTTCGACCCTCAACCTTCACGGAGTCCTTTCCTTAAGCACGACGAGTGTCTCGCGTCACTGCCATTAAGGTAAAGCAGTTCCTCCTGGTTTAGTGTGGTTATTATAGAACGCCAAGAAGGCAGATCAACGCAGCAGGGCGTACAGGCCTTTTATATGTGAGTTCTGATTCTCTTTGTTTGTGTGCCTTCTGAATTCACAAAAGGTGAGAGAGCAGAGGTCGCGCCGTTCACCCAGGCGTATATGGGCACAGCCTCACAACTTGCCGCGCGGTACAATGCGGGATCGCCGAGACGACTCGTGGGATTTTCCCGAAATGCCTCCTGCTAGTGAATATTCGTAAGGATGGATGGATGGATGAATACGGCTGAGCCCTTTGGATCGGGCGGTAGCTTACGCCACCTAGCGTAACTCCAGCAAAACGGACGACACCTTGCGGGAAAACATTCAACTAAACGGAACATGTTCCTTCAAGATTTCTCCACGTCCCTTGTAGCTTCCGTGATTTCATGTTGACAGCGGTTGGCGCCATTGGACAGTTGCACCCGGAGACTGTTTTTAGAGTCGTATTAGCAAATGCCATGTAAGCCAATACTGGCAACTCCCGCGAAGCGCGGGCAAAGAGTGATCGCAGCGCCCCTGGAGAACTCGGGGTCTACAACGCATAAGTTTTGCTTATCTCCGTGTGAGGTAACCAATTAAAAGAAATTGTCGCGGGTATTCGTTGTTTTGAATGTTAAAACATAGGTGCCACCTCATGAGTAAAGGACATTTTCTTCGCGTGGGAATGATAATAGCTTTCAGGGGGCAATTTCGGAGCTCTCACGAAGAAAACACTCTCTCCCAACTTATGTAGCTTCCGACTCAGCTCGTCGCATACCCGGTAACACCAGCCGTCCCTTCCAAAAACAGATTTCACTGATATATTGCACCAGGGAACAAACAGTTGAGCTGAAGGCGGACTGACACTCGGAACAAAGGCGCGCTGTGCAAAGGTTGCCTGTACACGTACGTCAACAAGTACTTGAATGTACTTTTGAACTGCTTCATCAAGCGAGCAAACCAACAACCCGCCAAAGTCACTGGAAAAAGAAATGCGAAAGCAAAAAAAGCTCACAGCCTCTCGCTTCCGCCAGCACATCGCAGCTGCATTGAAACGTAGTGAATAAGATCGGGGCAAACCATTTTGAGACCAATGCATGCCTGCTGAAACCCGAGCGTTGTGCGTTGAACGTATGACACGGCACGACCTGTTCTAGACCGCCATTTTTCTCGATAGTGGCGACCCCTAGAGGTGGCTAGGGTCGCCAATACACTAGTGAAAAACTGCGAACAGTGGGGGGGGGGGGGGGGGGGGGGGGTCTTTCTGTTGTCCCGCCACCGCTAGCTTTCTCACCTTTACAACACTTGGGTGTATCGTGAGCTTCCAGCGTGCACACACACAGTCAAAGGCACAGCGGAGGGCTCTGGCCTCGCATACGGGTTCCGAGCATCGAAGAGAAACGCCCTGCCCTGCTGCTCTTATACTGCCAAGAACTAGAGGTTCCCGCCCAGATATGAACGCGCTACTGCAAAAGAACAAAAAAAGCAACCACGAACGTTACTCGTAACTGAAACTCTAAATGAATGCGTTGCTACAGCTCAATCTAATGAGTTGCTTTTTCGTTACCGAGCTTTGAACACCTCAGTGGGCACCTTTTTTTTATCTTCTTGTAGGCGTTCTTTTTTTTCCGCTTTGAGAAAGTAACAGGCGTGAGTGAAGGCCAAATAGGCTTGCTGGTGTACACGCTCCTGTTCAGAAGTAATTAAATACAGTTACTGGTTACTTTGTGTTCGCAACTCCAGCCCACCGCTCGCCCCCTCGCGGATAACCGAAGAACACGAGGAGAGGGTACGGCGGCGGAGACCCTGGCGGGGAGTGTAGGAGCTGCTGTTGCCGCATGGTTTTGGTCGGCGTGTTCCTGCATCGTATAGATTTTTACGGAAAAGCCGAGTGCGTTCAAATAGGAATTGTTGCGTTCCGCTTTGTAACAGCCTTGCACGAAGGGACCGGGATGTCTAATTTAATTGGCGACTTTTCGTGGATCGCATACACTGTGGGTTTCGCGTCCTGCGGTCGCCAGCTAAATTGGTGCTCAACGTGACGGCAGAAGCTACCGCTAGTAGTGCAAGGCTCTTGCATAAGGTCTACAAAAAGTATATTCTTTCCCGAACGTAGAAGAGTGTAGCTCTCTTAACGGTGTGTCCGGTGATTGGCACCGGGAATCGGTACGCGTTTTGTGCGCTGACAGGCCGTGACAAGGAACGTGACCGTTTGCCCCAAGCACTTCCAATAGACAGACTGCGCAAGCTTGCCTCGAAGTAATTTATTTATTTATTTATTATACCCTCAGGGCCGAAGCATTACAGAGGGGGTGGGCAACGGAAGTACAAAAAACGCTGAAAATGGTTAGTCCGGCACAGATCATAAATAGTAACTTGTTAAAGCTTCTTTAAAGAGGACAAAATCGCCAATGGACGCAATGGGTGAGGGAAGGCCGTTCCAATCACGAGATGTTTTTGGGATGAAAGATTTGAAAAAAGAATTTGAAATGGAAGTGGGTATACCAACTTTGCAGCAGTGATCGAGGCGAGAGGATACGTAGATGGGAGCACTGATTAGTTGTTCTTTCAAGAGTGAATTGGCATAGTAAATTTTATGGAATAAACAGAGACGGGAGATAGTGCGACGAGTGGAAAGAGGGGGCAGTGAGAGACTAGCTTTCATGGATGTGACGCTTGATGTACGATGGTAGTTTGATAATATAAAACGTGCTGACCGGTTTTGGATGGCTTCAAGCGCTGATATGAGGCTTTCTGTACCGGGAT